CAGGCATCTCCCCCAACGTGAAGACAGAGATGGACAAATCGCCCTTCAACAGCCCCTCGCCGCAGGACTCCTCACCCCGCCTGAGCAGCTTCACGCAGCACCACCGTCCCGTCATCGCGGTGCACAGCGGTGAGCCGGGGCTGTGGGGTGACGCGGGACCCCTGTGGGGTGACACGGGACCCCCATGGGCTCTCGGTGACGCCGTCCCCTCCCTTCACCCCTCGTCCCTGTTCCACCTGCAGGTATCGCTCGCAGCCCGCACCCTTCATCCACGCTGCATTTCCCCACCACCTCCATTCTCCCCCAGACGGCCTCCACCTACTTCCCGCACACGGCCATCCGGTACCCGCCTCATCTCAACCCGCAGGACCCACTGAAAGATCTCGTCTCGCTGGCCTGTGACCCGTCCAACCAGCAGCCTGGACCGGTAAGGCTCCCACATCCCAGCGCCGCTCCCACCGCAGGGACACGGCCACCCCAGGGGGACGCAGCCATCCCTTGGGGACACGGCCATCCTGTGGGGACGGGGGAACCAAGAACCATCATCAGCGCGTGGCCGTGGGGATTTGTGGTGTCGCCGCATGGGGATGTGGGGTGCGATGCGGTGGGGACGTGGGGTGTGACGTGGTGAGCTGCTCCGTGGGGTGCCGGCACCCGGCGCTTGGGGTTTTGTGGCCCCAAATGAGCGTCGGCATTGGTTTGGTGCTGAAATGGAGTCGGCGCTTTGGTGGTTGGTGATGAGGTTGTGGGGCTGAGCCGTCACGTGGAGAGGGGGTGGGTTGTTGGGGGGTGGGCTGTGGGTGTGAGCGTCTGCAGAGAGGCACCGTCCTGGAGCTCCCCGTGCCCCGTCGGTCCGTGCGCCCTTGCAGCAGTTGGGGACCCGTCGGCCCGCGCCGCATCCTGCTGGGGGAGTCCTGGGGGAGAGGGGGGGTCCCGGGGATGGGGGGGGTCCTGCTGTGCGCCCGTCTCTGCCCCCCGCACATCCAGCATGCCGTGCACTGAGCGCCCTCTGCACAAACCCCGTGCGCCCAGCATGCCTCAAACCCAGCGTCCTCCGTGCTCCCGGCGCACCGTCAGCCTTCACGCCCCGCACCGTGCGCAGCCAGCACGCCGCTCAGCCCGCGGCCCCGGCCGTGCTGCTCGGGTGTAGCCAAGCACCCTGAGCTGTGGGCCACGAGCATCTGTGTGCCATGCATCCAGCGTCCTGTGCGCCCCATGCACCGTGCACACGGCGTGCCTTTCGCCCAGCACTGCGAGCGTCCCCTGCACCCCTCACCCCGTGCACCCAGCACCCCGTGCACCCCAGTCTCCCATCACCCTGCCTACCCGGCACTCCATGCATCCTATGCATTGTGCACCCAGCACCCCGTGCACCCCATGCACTTCTCATTCTGTGCACTCTGTGCATGCAGCAGCCCGTGCATCCCATTCTCCCATCACCCCATGCACCCTGTGCACCATGAACCCAACACCCCCATGCTCCATGCATCACTCATGCTGTGCACCCAGCACCCTATGCACTATGCAGCCTGCACCCCATGCACACCATGCACCACACACCCTGTGCTTCCTGTGCACCATGCACCCAGCAGCTCAGGCACTCCATGCACCCAGCACCGTGTGCACCGTGCACCAGGCACCCCTTGCACCCAGCTCCCTGCACCCCAGGCACCCCTTGCACCCCGTGTACCCGGCACCATTTGCACCATGCACCCAGCACACCATGCACCTCATGCACCCAGCTCCCTGCACCACGCTCCCTTTGCACTGACGCCAGTGGTGACCTCCATCCCTGCAGCACCCTGCAAGACCTGCGTACCACAGCTCCGTCACCAAACATGGAGGGTCCTGGGGACCCCCCGCTCACCCCCCCCGGGGTCTGACACCATGCTGTGGGGCACAGCCGCCCTTCCCATGCGGGGTCGGGCCAGATCGAGGCCGGCACTGTGATCCCCCCACCCTGTGACCCCCAGGTGGGGTCTCATCGGCGCCGTCAGCTCTGAGACCCAGCAAACTCGTGCCACCGAGGGCCGCGCCGCCCTCCCTAATGCCTTTGTGCTGTTTTTTGTGTTCTGTGTCTGTGTTGTGTCCCCAGTTAAATGGAAGTGGTCAAGTGAAAGTGCCCAGCCACTACCTGCCCACGCAGATGCTGGCACCGCCACCTCCCCCCGGCATGCCCCGCTTGGCCGTCTCTCCTGACACCAAATCAGCCACGACAACTTCGGAGGGAGGGACGACCTCACCGACGTCACCCAGTAAGCACCCCCGCGGCGCCCGCCCACCCGCCGGCCCCCCAACCTCCTCCGGGATGCGTGCCATGAGTTTGCCAGGTCTCGGGCAGGGTGACCAAGGGCGCACGGCGCCCCGTTCTTCCCACCCCCTGGGGGGGTGTGGGGCTCCAAGTTGGTCCCTTGGACCGGCAGGAGCCTCGTGGCCCCCCCTGGGAGGCCGGCGGAGCAGGAGAAGGCGGCGGAGCCGTGAGCCCAGGCTGGGCCTCTCCGTGCCTCGGTTTCCCCAGCGGTGCTGCGGGGACGGTGCGGCGCTGGGCTCGGGGGGGGGGCCCATATAGCAGGGTCCCCACCAGCTGCGGGGTGATGCTGGAGCGGGAGGGCTGGCCAAGCCCCCCCCCGGATGTCAACACTGTGCTTCATTAGCAGTGGCGGCTAACGAGCTCAGCCCCCTGTGCTCTGTTCCTGGGGATTTCAATGCGTGGGGCTGCGGGGGTTTCAGGAGCGCAGTGGCGGTGGGGAACGTCCCCGTGTCACTGCACCAAGGGGGCACCACCAGGGGCCAACAGCCGGAGCGTGGGTGCTAAGCGTTGGTGGCGTTAATGTTTCGTGGTGGGATGTGACGAGGGGGCAGCTCGTGGCCTGAGATCAACCACGGCCTCGGGGAGGGGGCTGGGCAGTGCCAGTCCCCCCCAGGCACAGGCTGGTTGTCCCGAGGGGACACAGAGCCCGCTGTCACCACCTCCGTGGGGTCCCGTTGCCGGACCCTATCCCATGGTGGGCGCTGCGTGGCACTGTGCCCAGCGGCCGTGCCGTGGGGCCAGGCCCATCACCCAGCTCCAGGTGCCTGGGACGCCCATCCCTGCAGCGGGGGGTTGATGGCATTGCCACCCACAGCGCCGTTAATCAGCTCTCGTTTGTTCCCCAGCCTACTCTGCACCAGGCACGCCCCCTGCGAACCGTTCCTTCGTGGGATTAGGACCAAGGGATCCTGGGAGTATCTATCAGGCACAGGTGAGATGGGGCGGGTGCTGGGGGGACCCTGCTGCCTTCGCCCTGTGTGGCATCAGCGTGAGCGTCACCGCCGTGGGCACCGTGCTGTGGCAGTGCTGCAGCGGGCATTGCTGACTGGACACTGCAACAGGGGGGCCTTGCAACAGGAGGCATCACTGCTGTGGTGCTGCAGCAGTGGGCACTGCAGTAGTTTGGATATCACTGCCTTGGTGCTGCAGCTGTGGGCAGTGCAGCAGTGAGCATTGCTGCCGTGGTGCTGTAGCTGCAGGCATTGCAGCTGTGGCGTCACTGCCATGGTGCTGCAACCTTGGGCATTGCAACTGTGGGCTTTGCAACCATGGTACTGCAGCTGTCATTGCAGTAGTGGGCATCACTGCCTGGTGTTGCTGCTGTGGGCTTTGCTGCCATGGTGCTGCAACCGTGGGCATTGCAGCTGTGGGCTTTGCAACCGTGGGCATTGCAACCATGGTGCTGCAACTGTGGGCATTGCAGCTGTAGGCATTGCAGTAGTGGGCATCACTGCCGTGGTGCTGCAGCCGTGGGCATTGCAGCTGTGGACGTTGCAGTAGTGGGTGTCATTGCTGTGGTGCTGCAGCTGTGAACACCACTGCTGTAGAGCTGCAACTGTAAGCACTGCACCGGCAGGCATTGCTGCTGTGAGCGCTGCACCGATGCCGTGGCATTGCAACCGTGGTGTTGCTGCCGTGGGCATCAGCACTGTGCTCTTGCAGACGTGGCATTGGCACCATGGGCATCGTGGTGTCACCAAGGCATCACTGCCTCAGGCACTGCAGCTGTGGCACTGCCACCACGCTGTTACTACTTCAGGCATCGCCGCGCCACAGGCACTGCAGCCGTGGGGATTTGGGCTGTGGGCATCGCCGCCGTCCGACCGCCGCCGTGGGCACAGCCAGCACCGTGAGCATCGTCACCATTGTCACTGCAGCGTCCCCAGCGTGGGCACGGCGATAGCAGGGGGTCTCCAGGTGACCCCCCCCCCCCTTGGCCACGTCCCCCGTCCCACTGCAATACAGCCACGGCCCCGTGGCATCACTGGGCACAGGGACGCCCCCACGCCACGTCCTGAGCAACGTGCCACCCCCAGCGGGTCCTCTGCAGTGACTCTGGGTGTCCCAGTAGCTGGGTGTGAGATTGAGGGGGGGGGACACACGTTGGGGAGCGGGGATCGGCTGAGACCCGGCACGCTCAGTTCATGTGTGGAGGGGCCAGGAAGGGTTAAGGGAAACGGAGGCCCCCGAGCTGTCTCGTTGCCAACGGAAACCAGACATGAGGTCATCGGGGATGAACTTGGACTTGGGGAGGCTGGAGACAATGGGAGAGCAGTGGGGGGCCCCCCCCGCCCCACCACCTCTGAGCTGGGGACAGCGCTGTCCCCAAGGGGAGAACCCTGGGGGTGTCACTGCAGCGCCTTGGTGGGGTGAAGCCATCCCCAAAATCGCCGTGGGGAGGTGGGGGGGGGGGGGGG